CACTAATTTGAAACATAAAAGACATCAAAAAAATATATGAAACTACTTTAAATTGATTATATTTTATTAAAAAAAAATTAATATCTTGTCAGGTTTCCTCTACTTTCTAAAACAGCATTAACCCTTTGTAGCATATTATCTATTAATTATTAAATTTTTTTAATATTGATGATCTTCAAATTTGAAAAATCAATCCATTTAGTATTTTTGTCCATAAATTGTATATAATATATATTATTTAATCCAGTTTTGTTTTTCTTTGAAAATTGTCATCTTTGAAATAATAATAAAAATAATTTTTTAATAATAGTTATATATATATGTATATAATATATATTATTTTATAATCCAGTTTTGTTTTTTTTTGAGGATTGTCATCTTTGAAATAATAATAAAAAATAGTTGTTTTAATAATAGTTTATATATATGTGCGTATATATGTGTGTGTTATATATATTATTTCTTTACCTGTCTATATATTAGTTTATAATCTAGTTTTGTTTTTCTTTAAGGATAACCTTTCAAGATTAATGAATAATTTTTTTATTTTTTGTATAAAATTATGTTTATAAAATTGAAAAAATTCGGTACATATTGAAATCCTTCAAAATCAATGATCTCACTTGATCTTTCTGTCCAAGCCTTTTAACTAACAAAAAGTATATTCAAGCAAAACATCATTGTTTTACAAGTAGTTTTTAATCACTTGTGTTATAACCAGCCTTTTCTATTTTAAAACAATTGAAAATACACTGTTACACAGTATAAAAAAGATCTGCATTCAATTTTGTCACTATCCATGTTGTTTATTTTTCATGTTCTTTATTTTGTAAAAAATTTTCAAGTAAGGTTAATAAAAGAGCAGAAAAGAATCAAGGTCTCAAAGTTTTTTTTTGTCTTTGTGTGACAATAGAAGATTCACATCTTGTGAGTAAACTTGTAAAACTAGTGAAGTATTTAAATATTTTAAACATTACAATTATATTTAAAGAAATTTTAAATAATGAATAGTTTGACAAATAAATTATTATTTTTATTTTTATTATTACATTTTTATTATATTTCTTTGTTATATTAATTACACAGGAAGGATGTTCATTAATAGATATGTCATGTATTTATTATACTCATTATTATTATTTGTGTTAATTATATATTATATTATTAATTTGATTTTTTTATTATAGATATAAAGAATAATCAAATAGAATCGGGATAGAGATACTTGTAATTTATAATTAAATTAATATTCAAATTTCAGAATTAACTTTTTTTATTATGATAATATATTGAAGATAGAATTGACAAGATATGGTGATGACATAAATTATGAAGATGCTTACCAACCAACCTTTAGACACACCATCCAAATAATACTGATCAAGAATATAGATGTTAGTCACAACTTTTGATGGTGGTTGCAATAACCTTGTGATTGTAATAACCTTTGTGATCATTTTGCTTTCTTCTTTGAATTGTAATATGGAGAATGAATTATTAAGTCATGAACTTGCTCAATAAAAAGTAATAAAAATATATGTTTTATATTATATATATATTTTTTTGAAAATTCCATTAAGTGAGTCGTCTTTATGGTACTAATGAAGTCTAAAGAACAAGGTTTATTGACTATTGTAATCAGCATAAAGTTGCTTGTTGAAAAGAATCAACATTTTTAGTGTGAATTTTTGTGTGTATTTTGACCCACTATTATGAGTTTAAAAAGCAGCTTTATTTTAAATAAAAGGTGCCAAAATATTTATTGGAACTTCAAGAAAAATTTTTATATATATCATTTTTTTAATCTATTAAGAAGTTTATGTGTTATAAATGTTAAAAGAGATTCTTGGCATTCAAGCGAATGTTACACACACTAATTAAAAAAAAGAGAAAGGATTTGCACACTGACTGCTATGTGATAACGAATGCTCAACTACACTCACTGGTCATAAATATACACTTGCAGATCATCAGAAATAATTGAACAAAGAAACATGAAAAAAAAAATTTTTTTATTAACAGTCAAACAATATGTCACAGGAAGTGTAATTACTATACATGCTATGATAATTATTTTGCCAAAAACGTAATACGTAATATGTAATACGTAATTATGAAATTAATTACGAAATTAATTACGGGTGACGAAATTAATTACGGGTGACAAAATCAATTACGCGTGACGAAATCAATTACGCGTGACGAAATCAATTACGCGTGACGAAATCAATTACGAATGATGAAATTAAATGACACCTATTATTTATCTCGTTATATTAGTATAATGACATAATTTGACAACTTTTTTTAGAAATATAGAATTTATTCTGTTATAAAAACATGTCAGTATAATGGAGAACCAATCAAAATCATTCTCATTTCTGAAAAAACATAAGGAAATAAAACTTATGCCGGGATCAAGATTGACTGGCACCATGGAAAATTCTGATAACACTTCTGTATAATGCTGGTCAATTTTGACCCAGCGTAAGTTTTAAATTTCCTGATAAATCATGAATGAAATAAAAATAAAATATATATATTAATATGTATAATAAAAATAAAATTACGAAATCACGTGATAATGATTCTCATATGACTTCTATATGAACTCCTGTTATAATGACATTCTTGACATACTGACCAAAATAAGTCTTTTTCAGCTGTAATCTGACAATAAAGGGTGTTTTTTGTTTGTACGGAGAGTGTTGTTATAACGGGAGTGACTTGCATATGATATTTCCAATAATTAATTCGTTGTTATTCATAATTATTTCGTCACCCGTAATTGATTTCATCACCCGTAATTAGTTTCGTCACCAGCATAGTGGAATTTCGTAATTATCACAAATGTGACTTAAAATGTCGATCTTTTTTATATTGTGTAATGGTAATTTTAAAGTACTTTTCAATTGGACGTTTGACC